GTTCTCCCACTGGTTTTTGAGTATTTTGATTCCTGATGTCAGATTTGTGTCCATTAATTCTTTTGCGTAGAGACTGTCCGGTTTGGCCAAAAACCAGTGGGAGAACACTTTAACCTGTCTGGTCATTCAGTGACAGACCTGCGGGTGGCTATATTACAACAGAAAAACTTACAAAAACAGACTCCAAAGAGAGACTGCAGAGCTAGAATTGATATGCAAACTAGACACAATCAACTCCGGTTTGAATAAAGACTGGGAATGGCTGAGCCATTACAAACATTGACTCTATCTCCCCTTGTAAGTATTCTCACACTTCTTATCACACTGTCTGTACTCGGCTAGCTTGATTATCACTTCAAAAGTTTTTTTTCTCTTAATTAATTGGCCTCTCAGAGTTGGTAAGACAACTCCCACCTGTTTATGCTCTCTGTATGTGTGTATATATATATCTCCTCATTATATGTTCCATTCTATATGCATCCGATGAAGTGGGCTGTAGCCCATGGAAGCTTATGCTCTAATAAATTTGTTAGTCTCTAAGGTGCCACAAGTACTCCTGTTCTTCTTATCACGTGGGTATGTATCCCACAGTGCAGTGTTGTGGGAAAGAAGAGCCGATTGCTGCGCATCTTGGGATTGTCTCAGAGTTCTCCCACAACCCCCTCAGCTGCCGAGAGCAGCATCATGAGTAGCTCTGGGAGCTCTCCATGCTGAGGAATGGCAAAGCAGCACAGCAGTCTGTCCCCCTCCCCCTGCAGCAGCAGTATGCCTGCCGCTGTGTTCCTAGTGCCCGGCAGAACAGGAGCATTCCAATGATTTGCTCTTTGTTTGTTCCCCAAACGGAGCAGCACACAGATACTTCCCGGAGCTTTGAAAGGGTAGGGGCGCATGTCTACACTGGCTCTTTGTCGACAATAAAGGGAGGGGGAAAAGACAAAAGTCTCTCGGAGGGGTGGAAGTTTTTTGTTGCCAAAACTGGGTGTTTCTCGTGACAAAAGTCCCACTGCAGTGTGTATACTCTTGCTGTTTTGTGGCCAAAAGGCAGTTTTTGGCAACAAAACTTGGTAATATAAGCCCATAAATCCTGCTACTTTAAGATGTCCTCTTGTCACAGTAGTTGCTTGACAATTTGGACAAATTGCTGTAGTATAAAAGGTTAAGCAATAGTTAATCCTAATTAAATAGGTTTATTTCTAAATAAAGACCAGTTCTTAACATCATAAGAATGGCCCTACTGGGTCAGACCAAAGGTCCATCTAGCCCAGTATCCTGTCTATCGACAGTGGCCAGTGCCAGGTGCCCCAGAGGGAATGAACAGAACAGGTAATCATCAAGTGATCCATCCCCTGTTGCCCATTCCCAGCTTTTGGCAAACAGAGACTAGGGACACCATTCCTGCCCATCCTGGCTAATAGCCATTGATGGACCTATCCTCCATGAATTTATCTAGTTCTGTTTTGAACCCTGTTATGGTCTTGGCCTTCACAACATCCTCTGGCAAGGAGTTCCACAGGTTGACTGTGCATTGTGTGAAGAAATACGTCCTTTTATTTGTTTTAAATTTGCTGCCTATTAATTTCATTTGGTGACCCCTAGTTCTTGTGTTATGAGAAGTAGTAAACAACACTACCTAATCTACCTTCTCTACACCAGTCATGATTTTATAGACCTCAATCATATCTCCCCATAGCCATCTCTTTTCCAAGCTGAAAAGTCCCAGTCTTATTAATCTCTCCTCATACGGAAGCCGTTCCATATCCCTAATAATTTTTGTTGCACTTTTCTGAGCCTTTTCCAATTCCAATATATCTTTTTTGAGCTGGGGCAATCATATCTGCACACAGTATTCAAGATGTGGGCGTACCGTGGATTTATATAGAGGCAACATGATATTTTCTGTCCTATTATCTATCCCTTTATTACTTATTCCCTAAACAAATCTACCTTGTACACCAGACTCCTGCTAGAATTGCATTGGGTCTGCCCATCCTTACTAAAACAGCATGCCAGTGTAACCAAACATGGACATGTTTCTTTAAACCATTATGATGCAAACATCACAACATTAAGAAAGGTGCTGCCAAAGACTGTAAAAAAACCTTACTCTTGTTTATAATGCCTTAACTACTTGACATATTTTCCCCTGCTGATCTCTTTTTTCTGTATGCAAAAAGCAGGCCCACTGCCATGGCATATATGAACATATGGAGTTGCTGAAATGAATGCACTTTTGTTTAATTAAGTTTGTTCACATTGAAGGAAAGTGGTCAACATCGCTCTGGAGAACCAGAACAGAGCTTGCAACATTCAGGGCAATATAAACAACTTTTACACAAACTGGTCAGGAGGACCCCTTTAAAAGAAGGTGAATAGATGTTTTAAGGGTTCCAATCACTGAAAGTGTACACAGGTAATTCAGAACACAGCAAGGGAATAGAGGGCAGGGAAATTAGACTCACCTTGGCATGCCACATTGGGGTCACCCCAGAAAAACTCTTGGCACTCCCTGCAGGTGCGGCCTCCAAACCCAGGCATGCACTGACACTGCCCAGTGAACTGTTAAAAATAGGAGTAGAACAGAAAGTGAATTGGTTTTCCTGTATGGAAGGGAACATCACCAGCAAAGCTCTTGGAGCTATTCCCAGCAGCTTGTTGGGAACATGCTCAGGTAGTGTTATTTTGGTCTCTTCATATATTGACAAAGACTTAGCAGCCGAGCTCACTAACAGAAAGCAACATGGCTGGACACAGACTGAAGCTGAACGATAAAAACAATTTAAGAAAATTGTGATGCTTCCTATCTCTCTGGACCCGATCCTAAAAAGCTCACCCCAGTGTGGACTATCTAGCAGAACATAATCTTTAGAACTGAATGACTAGAGCCAAATTTTCATGATTGCCGGGGCCCTACAGTGCCCCTCGACTTTAAAAATAAGAGTTGGGGTGCTCAGCACTTCTGACAACCCAGCCTTTCTTGTCATGTGTGCACTGGGGAAAGAAATATTATTTGGGGCATAGAGACAATGCCTGTGCCGTCTTTAAATTCCTCTGGTGTTTGTCCCTGAATTGTCATTTTTGTCATGACTTTCCCACAGCCCTAGAAGTTATACAGCCTACTGAGAACGTTACCGTCTCTTCTGGAAGGCAACATTTGCAATCTGATTTACTGAGCCACTGTGCAGCTTTCCTATGAATACAGCCAATAACTATGCAGAGGAGTATTTTGCTGGATAAGACTAATGAGGCCCTATGCATTTCTTACCTCATTACATGATGGCTCGAAGGAACGAGCAACATCGCACTCGCACAGTTCACATCCAGTTCCACTGGCCAGTCTCCAAGTGTTTGGTGCACAGCGATCGCAGTTCTGCCCGGTCACATTCGGAAGGCATTGGCACTGACCGGTTGTTTTCTCACACTGACAGTCTTCTGAGCTATTGCAGTGCTCTCGCACTGTTCCCAAGTAGTTACAGACGCACTCTGTAATGGAAGAGCAGGCAGCCTAACTCTGCTATGCTAGCACAATGCCACATTAAATTGAGTCCAAACCTAAATGTCGGTTACTGATGTATTACCAAAAGAGGATGTATTACTCATTCCAGGGAGATGTGATCCTATTCAAATGGGGAAAGTTACACAGACATCCCTACTGGCATGTCTTGACATTGTAAGTTACTTAGGCTATGACTACACTGGCAATTGAATGACAAAACTTGTCTTTAAGGAGGTGTTAAACCCCCCACTTCCCCGAAAGACAAAAGTTTTGCTGCAACAAGTGCCAGTGTGAACAGTGCGTTGTCAGCAGAAGAGCAAAAACGCCGCTCGTTGGAGGTGGAAGTTCTTTGTCGGCAGGAGAGCCGACAAACAGCAGCTACACTGCACAACTTTTAGTGGCACGGCTGCAGCGACACAGCCCTGTCTCTAAAAGCTGTGTAGTGTAGACACAGCCTTAGAAAACAGATGGTTTGGGAGGAAAAACCTAATGAAGCATCCTTTAAAGCCTGTCCGGGTACATGTGCCATGGTGACAAGTGCAGTATAAATACCCAGTATGGTAAACTGCCTTCTCATTCAAATGCCTCTATTAATTTTTCAGAACTTATGCTGCAAGTTATTAACCTTGCAAAGATGCAGACGGATCTCAGAGTATTGCTACATTGGTTTCCAAGTTAATTTGAGCAATCGTGTAACTAAGGCTTAATCTTGTGAAGTGCTCCTATAATATGCACAGTAGGTGACTTGAGGATTCCTAACATCTTGCAGGACTAGGACTACATATAATAAGCAGATAAAGGGAGTCTTTAAAGCACAGTAATACTCTGAAAAGTGAATTTTGTAAGAAGGGGAACACCATGGGGTTCCAGGTTAATTGTCTTTCATATAAAATGTGCTCTCCTTACAAAGTGGAAGAGATTATTAGTTTCCTGCAAACACACCCTGGGATCTGCAAGTCAGGCTGGATTCTTTCTGGTTCCCACATAACCATCAGAAACAGACTTTGCAACACAGATCTCTAAAAATTCGGGGGATGGTATGTGACCCACAATAGAACTCAGCTCCCTCCCTCCCTCCCGGAGATGTTTGCTCTGCTAATAGAAATAGTAAAAAAAAGAGAGAAAAAAACACTTTTTTCTGACTAACTTTCTGGATAAGCACAGAGTAGCATTCTGGAGTAAGAGATTCCCTTTTTAAAAAACACAGAACAACACACCATTATGTGACTATAGCCCCACTTAACACTTATCATTCCCTGAGGCAGCCCTTCCTTCTGAGCTTTCAGGAACCCACTCCTGCTGTTCTTTAACATCCCAGGAATGTTTGTGTAAACAAAAGCCATGTCTTCAGGGCTTAAGAAGCAGCAGGAAATGGCCATGCTCCATCTCTTGATAAGAGGGAAACAATGAATGCTCACAAGAAGGCAAGAAATCCTTATCCCACAAGAGCCCATCCTTTCAGATGTTTGGACACGTAAATGATAGGTGTCTCGTTTCTCCCTGTTACACTAAACGACTCCTGCCCCCTGAAGAATCACACTGAACACAAGAAAAGCTGCAAACCCAATGTTTAGCCAGAGGTAATTAGGTTTCTACCATCAGTTTAATCAGAAATGGTTCCTGGTAAATTTAAAATACTCTAGGTTATCTGCCATTCTCCATTAATGTCCTGAGGCCACCTGCAAAATCAACAGCTTCACAGTTTATTATGCCTAATGATATAGAGTTTAGTGTAGGTAAATGAATTCTGGCCAGTGCTATAGAAGTGAGGAATAGGAAGACCCCTCCCCCCCCCCCACTTACTTCTACAATCCTGTTGCAATGCATGTCCATAGTACCCATATTTACACAGCTGGCAATTTTCACCCTCTGTCTGATACAAGCACTTCAGGCACTTTCCAGACTGCTTGTCACAGGCCCCTGGGTCAGTCATGTCAATGTTGTTGTTACACTGGCACGGCTGGCAGACTCCACCTGTCTCTTCAGGGTCTCCAAAGAAACCAGAAGCACACTCATCACATCTGCTTCCTGTTTAAACAAACAATCCAAGGAATTATTATAGCTCGTTAACAAACAAGTCAATAAACAGCAAGACAGTGTGACAAGAGATTGAAAGTGAGTAGTTGAAAGGAAATTGAGTTGAATATATTCAGAGAAACAAAACACAATACTTGTCTGGATCCTCAGCAAATCTAAGTTGAGGAGATCCATTGATTTCAATGGAATTGAGACCATTTATAGCAGGGTAGGATACAGCTCCTTTTCATGGACTTCAGAATTCAAGGCCCAGATTCAGGGAAGAACTTGCAACATGTGTTAATGGGCATCTCTATTCAGGACAGCACTTAAACATAGGATTAGCTTTAAGCCTATGCATTGACTTCAGTACTGTCCTCAATAGGGATGCTTTGCTTGAGCTGGGCACTCAAAGAACTTCTAGCATCATAAACATTCATTAAAATGTATATATAGAGAGAAATTTTTGCTATGCAAGACGTTCTTTCCTAGCTTTTTCAAAGTGCCACTCCTACCTGCAGTATTTGCCTGCTGGCTGGGAGTGGTTCTTATAACTTCATTATTTATATATTGCTACAGGGGTACATGGTGCTTCACAGATGCATAAAATCAAAGACTTGCTCTTAAGGTGCTTACAATTTAAATTAAGCTGAACAACAAACACTAGGTGGAGAGATTTGGCAGATATAGGAATAATAGGGGTGGGTAACTTCTCTCACTCCCACTGATTTTCCAGTGAATGCTTACATGCATTGCTTGTCAGAGATTGGCCCTTAATTTGTAAATAAAAACTACAACACTTACAAATACTGGTACTACAGTAATTTCTGCCAGTGCTTATGCTGGTGCTTTCTACTTTCCTCTACGTCAGAAGTGGGCAAGCTATGGCCTGGGGGCCACATCCGGCCCTCCAGATGTTTTAATTTGGCCCTTGAGCTCCCACCGGGAAGTGGGGTCTGGGTCTTACCCTGCTCCGGCACTTTAGCTGGGGAACAGGGTCGGGGTGCAGGTCTCCCGGAAGCAGTGGCACGTCCCCGCTCCGGCTCCTACAAGTAGGGGCAGCCAGGGGGCTCCACACGCTGCCCCCACCACAAGCGCTGCCCCTCGCAGCTCCCATTGGCCAGGAACCGCAGCCAATGGGAGCTGCAGAGGCGGCACCTGCGGACAGGGCAGCGCGTAGAGCCGCCTGGCTGCGCCTCCATGTAGGAGCTGGAGGGGAGACATACCGCTGTTTCTGGGAATTGCTTGAGGTAAGCGCCACCCGGAACCTGCCACCCTGACTCCCTCCTGTGCCCCAAAACCCTGCCCCAGCCCTGATCCCCCTCCTGCCTTCCGAACCCCTCGGTCCCAGCCCAGAGCACCCTCCTGCACCCCATACCCACAATTTCCATACCCAAATGTGGCCCTCAGGCCAAAAAGTTTGCCCACCCCTGCTCTACATAGTTCCTCTCTGTAGCCAGATTAAAACTCAGTAGATGCACTTTAAAGCACATGGTACTTACCTATGTATCCCACGTTACAGACACACACAATTTGCAGAGTAATAGGATCTTGATAACAGCTGCTAGCAAACTGACGCCCACTTTCTGGGCCATCTGGGCAAGGACAAGGCCGACAATGATCTCCTGATCCCAGGACAGGGTCTCCATAATAGCCACCAAGGCACCTGTATTAAATAAAGGCTTGTGAGACCGCAAGCAGATACAGTACAAACTATTTCTTCTGATGTGAAATCACACTAGAATGGTTTTCAATGACTGGAGGGATGAGGGAGACAGACATCTTTTATAGGTCTCCAATTGTTATTCACAGTATGAATAACACTACTGTAAAGATGTTTTCTTTGGTTCATACTAGCATTACAAGTAATATGCCATGCCAAACCAAACCATTCCATCTCAAATGCTATGTCTTACCTCTGATCATCACACTTTAAAACCTCCTCTGGTAGGCGTTTAGGTACATTTATATGGAGAAATCAGTTTCATGCCTCCTCAACACACACTCCTTTGCTCAAATGGGTGGCCCTGGGCCTGGAGCAAAGATAAGAGGCCACACAGGTGCCAAGCAGCTGCTTACAGAGGATGGGGTTCACCTCTTCCCTTCAGAATCTGCTTTGGTCTCCATGGCTGCAAACTGGCCAGAGTCCATGCAGCTCTGGCCAATTCTGCACCAGGGCCCAAGGTTTGGCCGCTAGTTGTGATAACTCTACACAGACTTTTCATCTCTGTAGCTCTTTCAGCTGTATATATTCTCACCAACTGTGGCATTTTTTAACATATTCATTGCTCTTTTGCTGGGGACGGAAGAAAATGGGTCCTGCCATTTTGCCCTCATTAAAATTAAGTGTCTGAAACAATCCTGGGTTTGTTCATCTCCGTAAAATTTCTGCCTTGCTCTCCACTGCGCAGCTGCCACTACAAAGCGGACACTATGAGAGGAATTTTTGCAGTGAGAGCTGGCCCTCTTCCTATAAATGGACACTGTCACTTTCAAGACAGCTCCCCCCACCCGCCCAAACAAGCCTTTAGACTTGTCCTGAACCCAGGTGGTCCAGTTTGGCAGACCAAGACATTTCTATTCATTCCTATTTCTCTGTGCTGAAATCCAAGTAAGATGGACATGTGATATTTACATAGGGGCCACTTCTCCTTTATAAACAGGAGACACAGGTTCCCTGTCCGGTAATAAGGGTGGGGCACCTCAGTGCAGAATCAGGGTTTTGTGCTTGATCATGCTAATTTCACCGACTTCAATGGGACTTACTTGAGAAATGACTTTAGGACTGGGTGTTAGTTTTGCCTGGGGCGGTTCAGTGAATATTGCTTACAACGTATAATAACGTACCAGTAAATCAGCTATAAGAAGAGACCATACCTTTCACAGTTGTGTCCCATGGTGGAATCGCGGCAATTCAAACATTCCCCAGTGTATGGGTCACAGTCATCCGTGTGGCCATTACACTGGCAAGGCTGACAGCTTGGAAATCCCCAGTATCCAGGTAAGCACCTATCACACTGACGGCCATACACTCCCTGGAAACAGTAGCACTGGCCAGTCTCAGGATGACAGAAGGAACTGACAGAACCTTGTAAGTGACATTCACAAGCTAAATAAAATAAAATAATATAAAAATGCAGTTAAAAAGAAATGATAGTTGGAAAACTTCTCTTCTTCCATTTATGCAGCTGCAGCCTCTGGACCTGGCTCTGCCGTCATTACCCAGTAGCGCTCCCACAAAAGCTAATGAGAGTTTTGCCCCAGTAAAGGCTGAAAACCAGACCCTACCATTGTATTCGAATATAAAGATTCGACAGAGTGGAGACTTTAAACTGGATTTCCTAGGTTATACTTAGATCCAGAGAACAACAGTACCTTAAAGAATATCTTGTTAGAAAGTGTTCGATACCGATATTCCCCATTATTAGATTTGCCATTGCCTAACTAGATTGAATATGCGGAGATTACAGATTAAACGTACATTTGCATCCATTAGGTCCAAACCCAAAGGTGCCAGGAGTACATCTGTCACATCTTCTTCCAACAACATTAGGACGACACTGGCACTGTCCTCCATTAGAGTCACACACTGAACTTAATGATCCTTGAGGGTTGCACTGGCAAGCTGAATAGTGAAAAGAGGACAGAAATTGGAAAAGAGCACCACAGCTCATAAAACAGGTTTGAGCAGCATCTCTCCACACATACACCCACACCTCCCACCCACATCTTGGCAACAACATTAACAACTGGAAAACTGTGATTTACTCTGCAAGTCAATTAAGTTGTACATACATAATGCGGTCTCATGTAACAGTGCAGAGATGCTAAAAATAATATTCTTGCAGACGTCAGTCATAGGGGTTTTCACAACACTCCTGCTGTTTTCCAGACATCGATATCTTTGAAATGTTTCCCAAGCACTGTTAGTGACCACATCTTCGCCTGAGCCCCCCACTGTGAAGATGTCCAGCGATTTGCAGTAAGGCATAAGAACGAGCTATGAAACAATTATAAAATGAAAAACGTTACCATTTGTAATGCTGCAGTCCATTTTTGTCTAAACTAAATATTACTTTGTTTCTTATTACGCTGGCTTTTTAAAGTAAAAGAAAAACAAAAAACCCAGCAACAACAAGATCTTGTTAATTTTCATAGAAAAATGTCTAGCATCCACAAAACTAATATTTTATGGAAAATATGAAAGATCAGGTTTGATATTCATGATGTGTCTGCCTCACTTGTATAAATAAGCCTCTCCAAAGATACAAACTTTAGCAGTACAGCACTTAACATGTTAGTGATTCTGTAATATACAGCAAAGAACGCATATCAGAAAAGAAACCAAACAGGGCACATACTTTAAATCTGAAGAGGTGTACAGTGCTTGAAACCGTTGTAAATGTATAGCCAAATTTAGCCAGTGAATAAGTGAACAAAACTCCCATTGACTTCAGTGGGATTTACGTAGCAGTGCCCAAACAGAAAATACAACACTTAGTATTTTAAGTTTAATTTTTCTTGAAAAACATCCATAAAGTAACTTGCACTTACAGAGTCAATGAGTGTGTATGGGCTTTCCACCTCAGTATCGAAGGAGGAGTACTGTGATAGCTCCAGGCGAACAGTGTAATTCAGTCCCTTTTCAAAACATACAGGGCGTGGAAGGACAACATATCTGGATTGGAAACAGAACGTTTGGTTTTCATTTAAAATGTTGAATGCAATAAATCTTTTCAGATGGCTCTATGGAACCTACAGGATAAAATATTTTGCCTCTTCTTGTTTGATTTTTACTAAGAATGAATGGTAAGTTTTGAAAAAAATGTTTGGAAGTTTGTGCAACCAAATCCTAAAAAGCCTATCAATCCTAAAATGAATGATACAATAGTTATACAGACCTTGAGCTTGGTGATAATGATACAGTCTGATTATCATCG